CGGAACCGACCTTCGAATCTCTTCGCGCAACACTTTCACTCGAAATGGAAGTTAGCTCAACAATTATGAAGCAAGAGATTCCTCGAAACCCAACTTTTCTTCGCATAATTATCTTTCGTTTAGGTCTTGCTACTTTATTTCGACTGTTTGTGTGTGTGTGTGTGTCTGTGTGTGTGTTGACGTCAATGGGCAATACCAGTCGTAAATCAGTGAACCAAAAACAAATGCCAGACTCTGGTCACCTCAAGGCCTAATGACTCAAGAGAAATCTTGCATAAGCGAGTAGGGTTGGGAAAATGAGATGCAAACTTGTAAGCATGTAAGTCCAGTTACGAGACCACTTGTCCCAACCTCTCAGTCTAGGGTCGTCAACGTTGAACCAACCGAGGGAAGGCATGACTAGTGCTGTGTAATCGGGTACATGTGGTTTGTTGATGAGCTCAATTTAATTTGTTGGACGAGTGTGAGTGAAGTTGGAAGCATCACTGAACAGACAAGATTGGCCGTCTTATTTTTTTGATGTCGGCTCAACAGCTTCTCTCTCTCCTTCGGTCTTCCAATCAAGCCTAAATAGTTCCTACGGCACTTTCTCCCTTGTCTCTTATCATTCTTTCTACAGCAGACGTACCACAATCAGCCAGCCTACCAGTTCGAGACCATACACACATACACAAGCACACACACAAGCACAGACCGACGAACAAAAGTAACAGGACCAATATGAAAGATGATTAGCCAAACCATTCTATCCAAGTTTCTTTTCCTTTCTTTTGCTCAATTGAGTCTATACAAGAGGGAATATAGAGCCGGATAGTCTTCTTGACTTGAGACGCGTATACAAATGAGTTCCAGCTGTGATGATGCCCTTCGAAGGATGAACGACAGCGCAGTCCGTTTTCACCAGAAGCGAGGCAAGACGTCTCGTGGACCGCGTCAACCTTACGGTCGTATTGAAGCCAAACGGCTGCGGTACAACACGATTCATCCGTCCTCTTCTTCTTCTTCTTCTTCTTCTTCTTCATGCACTTTCATGCGAAATCAACGTGCCCCCAACAATGTTATCTCAGGAGATTCATCGAAACCCA